AACGGCCCCTTTTTTGTCAAAAAAATTGCATGCATAGCCTTATGGAGGATTATAGAATGCTGCTGGGGGCTTGGGGGGGGGGGGCAAAAACGGCCCATTTTGACTCATTTCTTCCCTCCCCAGCCCCCAGGAGCTCTCTGAAAGCCTCCATAAGGGTATGCACAGCCATTTTGGTGAAGGGAGCAGGGATTTGGGAGGCAAAAAATGCTGTATTCGGTGTATAAGACGCAACCAGATTTTCAGCCTCTTTTTTGCGGGAAGAAGGTGCATCTTATACTCCAAAAAATATGGTATGTATGTTTTCAAAAAAAGAGCTTGGCACAGCCTTGCTTGAGTGGGAAAGTCCCACCAGGCTCCTGGCAGCTCTGATTTAAAAGCAAGAGGGCCTGGGTTCAAAATTCAGCCTTGATAGCAAAGAGCGACGCTGATGCAGCTTGTCCTCGACTTACGACTGCAAATGAACAACACCTTTTCTGTCGCTGAGGGTATGTATATAGCTTGTCTAAACAGGTAGTTCAATCCTAGGTAGAGGCAAGCATTTCTCTCTCTGGGCACAATGAGAATCTATCTGCTGAACAAAACTCCGCATTGGCGATAGGAAGGGCATCCGGGCAGTAGACTCACAGCTCCATTCAGCTGCCCCGACTCCACCCCGCAAGGCATTAGGGCATCATTAAAAGGAGCTGATGATGAGATAGGTAGTCCTCAACGTAGGATAATTGAGCCCCAAATTTCTGTCGCTGAGTGAAAGATTTGTTAAGTGAGTTTTGACCTCTCTTGCCATATTTGTTAGGTGAATTCCTGCAGTTAAGTTACCCTGTTTCCCCCAAAACAAGACCATCCTGGATAATAAACCCAATTGGGCTTTTGAGCGCATGTGCTAAAATAAGCCCTCCCCTGAAAATAAGCCCTCCCCCCAAAATATAGCAACATGGCAGCAGCCATGAGGTGACCACTTTCTCGGCCTCCTGCACCTCAAAAATAATAAGACCTCCCCGAAAATAAGGCCAAGCGCTTATTGGGGGGAGTCAAAAGAAAATAAGGCTCTTATTTTCAGGGAAACACGATAGGTAGGTAGGTGGATAGGTAGGTAGGTAGGTAGGTAGGTAGGTAGGTAGATAAACAGATGACAGAGGATGGATGGCTGAATATGTAGGTAGGTAGGTAGGTAGGTAAATAGAGAATGGATACATAGGTAAGTAGATATGTAGGTAGGTAGATAAACAGATGAGAGAGGATGGATGGATATAGATCAATAAATAGGTAGGTAGGTAGGTAGGTAGGTAGATAAACAGATGACAGAGGATGGATGGCTGAATATGTAGGGTAGGTAGGGAGGTAGGTAAATAGGGAATGGATACATAGGTAAGTAGATATGTAGGTAGGTAGATAAACAGATGAGAGAGGATGGATGGACGGATATAGATCAATAAATCCCCCCTTCCCAGTTTTATGTGAGCCGCCCTGAGTCCCCTCAGGGAAAAGGGCGGCCTACAAATTCTAATAAAACTACAAACTACTACAAATATATAGGTAGGTAGGTAGGTAGGTAGGTAGGTAGGTAGGTAGGTAGGTAGGTAAACAGATGGCAGAGGATGGATATAGATCGATAAATATATAGGTAGGTAGGAAGATAGATAAACAGATGACAGAGGGTGGATGGATGGATATAGATCAATAAATATATAGGTAGGTAGGTAGGTAGGTAGGTAGGTAGGCAGGTAGATAAACAGATGACAGAGGATGGATGGATATAGATCGATAAATAGGTAAGTAGGTAGGTAGGTAAACAGATGACAGAGAATGGATGGATGGATGGATAGATAGATAGATGATAGATATTCTGTTTCCCTGAAAATAAGACCTTCCCGTATAAGAAGCCCAATTGGGCTTTTGAGCACATGCGCTAAAATAAGCCCTCCCTCAAAATATTGCAACACAGCAGCAGCCATGAGGTGACCACGCTCTTCACCTCCTGCACCTCAAAAATAATAAGACCTCCCTGAAAATAAGGCCAAGCGCTTATTTCGGGGGGTGGGGGTGTCAAAAGAAAATAAGACCCTGTCTTATTTTCGGGAAAACACGGTAGTAACCCGGTTGTTAAGTGAATCAGGCTTTCCCCATTGATTTCACCAATCGGAAGGCAAAAAAGGGATCATGTGACCCCAGGACTCCGCGACCGTCATAAATACGTACCAGTTGCCAAGCCTTCCGAGTTTTTGATGACTGTGGGGATGCCTCAATGGTGTGAAAAAACGAACCCAAATCACTTTTTTCAGTGTCATTGTAATTCCAAACGGTCACTAATCGAACTGTTGTAAAGTCGAGAACGACCTGTAAAACTTCGCGACTTGGTTGTGAAGATGCAACCATTGCCGAGGGTGCGAGGAAACCCCCCATGAAAACCACTTACCTTGCTACTGCTGCTGCCCCTGCTGCTGGAACGGGAGCGGGACTCCGAACTGCTCCGCCGCTCCGAGCCGGAGCGGGATCGAGATTCCAAAGCTGGCCGCTTCCGAGCCGGCGATTCGGAGGAAGCGGAGCGGGTCCTCCTCGCCCGGGAGCGGGGCGGCGAGCTGCCCGGGGAGCGGGAACGAGAACGGGAGGAGCTGGAGGAAGAGGACGAGGACGAGCGGGAGCTGCCGGCCCGTACGGGCTGATGTGGCGGGAGCGCCAAGGGGGATGGCGAGGCTCCACGGCTGGCAACAGTCGGTGCTTCCTGAGCGGGGGGAGACAGCTGAGAGAGCTGAGGAGGGGCTTCGTCTTCGGCGGGAGCGAGTCCCGCAGGGGCTTCCTTGGTCAGGAGTGGTGGAGGCGGCTCGTCCCCACGGGGATCCTGTTGGGACTGTTGTGCTTCGGTCAGCTGCGGGGGAGATGGAGAGGCGTGCACCAGCGCCGCCGCGGCTGCCGACGCCTCTTCCTCTAGGCGGCGCAGCGCCTGGGTTGCCTCTGCTTCTGGGGTCCCCTTGTTCTGGGGTTCGCCCTCCTTCTGCAAGACAACAGCCGCCGGGGTCTCGCCCTGCTCCATCATCTCTTCCTCTTCCTTCTCCTCTTGGGGAGTTTCGGTCGACCGTGGCTCCTTCGGGTCTTCCTCGGTCTCCATTTTTAAGGCTTCAGGTAACTGGGGTGCAACCTCCTTTGGGGGATCCGGGAGGGAATCCTTTTCCACGGGGGATTCCGCTGGGATTAGAGCTGCCTGCTGCTTTTCTCCGGGGTCTGTTGCCCGGGGCTGAGCCTCCTCGTCTTCTGACCTCTGCAAGTGCGCGAGGACTGGTATGGCGGCTTCGCCACTCGGGCTGTCTGGGGTCTGAGAGCGCGTCTCCGTTTGCTGGGCTTGCAGGACGATGGGCAAGGAAGCTTGCAATATGCCCGTCTCTTGGGGAGCTGGCATGCCCGGCTCCTCCGGCCTCATGGGCGTCTGGCCGACCAGCAAAGGAGGTGCATCTTCTTCCTCCTCCTCCTCCTCTTCTTCCTCCTCCTCCTCCTCTTCTTCCTCTTCCTCTTCTTCTTCCTCCTCTTTGACCGGCACCCGCTGGGCAGCTCTCCGACTCCGAAGGGAAGGCTCCCGCTCTTCGCTCACCAGTGCATGGCCACCTCCCGCGGTCTTCACTGTTCGGGCCTAAAGGAGAAGGGTAGAATAGATACTTTATTGTGGGAGAGAAGGAATATATCCATTGGAAAGTTGAAGGTAATAAGGCCTAGGAGTGAGCATGCAGTCCTCACTGAACCAAAATTCCAAACTAACATAATTGCAAAATGTAGCAGACATATTTCTAATGTGCTGATGTCAACTCATGGTGAGGAAAAGGGTGGAGGAGGGGAGAGAGAGCGCATTCCATGCATACCTTCGGCTAGAGTCGGATCTCAGATTACTACAGCAGGCTTGGGAGGGGTGCGCCTCATTGGAGAATGTGATTTATGACACAGATTGAAGGGGGGGGAAGGAACAGGGGTAAAGTTCAGCTATAATTCAAACGAGGCTTAGATCTCGGGTATTGCCAAAATGGTGCTCCTAATAAACGATTGGCTTTCTTTTGAAACTTGGCTCAAGCCTCATGAATCAATTAGGGCATCTTTCGTAAACCCGACAGCTGAATTGTGTGCTGCATTTTCAGCAAAGTCGGACAGTGAGGAGGTTGGGAAGGAACATGCGCCAGTCTGGGGGTTGAGGAAAGCTCAGACAAGGGCTCTGCCCCGGAGGCAGAGAGGGAGTAAGACAGCAGTGAGGCAGAAGAACAGCTGGAGCCTTTTCCCAGTGTACGCATGCTCAGAGCTCCCAGAAGTCAAGAACAGCTGATCGTCATTAATATTGCGGATTTACACCGCCCCCCTCCCCGCTGCTCTACTTACCTTTGCAGGTGCGCTCGGTAGCAGGCTCTGCCCGCCCCCGATGTCATTTTTGATGCTCTGCGCATGCGCGGAAGGTCCTGTGCATGCGCGGAGGTGGCACGCGCGCTCACATTTACGAACCAGTAGCGAAGGTAAGTTGATTTCACCACTGCCTTGGACCCCATTGCAATGGCTTGACAATGTGAGTTTTCTGTTGTTATTATATCTTTTGCTTCTTTTATTCCGAATTATTAGAAGCAATAAACCTCTGGTCTTAAAGTAAGATTGTTTGTGGTTTCCCTTTTGTTTTTTTTTAAAATCAGAATTTGTTTATGACAATTGCAAGGGCCCCCAAAGAGCGGTGGGCTAGAGGTGGAGCTCTCGCCTCGCAACCAGGAGGCTGTGAGTTCGATCCTAGGTAGTGACAGATTTTCTCTCTCTCTCTTGTACTTGAGAGACCGCCTCCTGCCAATTACCTCCTCGCGACTGATTAGATCACACAGATTAGGCCTCCTCCGAGTTCCATCTGCCAGTCAGTGTTGACTGGCAACTACGCGGAGGAGAGCCTTTTCAGTAGTAGCTCCGACCCTTTGGAACGA